ACAATGGTGGTCTGTGAAGATATTCACATTGAAGACTATGACGCGAGAAGACATTGAGTGAAGACTATGGAGCGCAAAGACTCAGCTGTTTCGATGTTTCTTTTCTTTATTGTTGAGTCATAGGAACAACCGCACTGCTGAGTGGGGTCCAAGTGAACAAAGTCAAAGTGACTGAAGTGATGCTCAACCAAATCCTATGTATTTGAGCAAAGACAATGAGAGCAAATCTTATCCAGAGTCGGACGAGTCAGCTTGACTTGTAGCCCAAGTCAAGCTGCCGCGTGTGTTTGAAATCTGACCGTTGCGACATGTGTCAGTTCCTTAGTGACCCAAGGTCATTTCGGACAAATCAGGTCAGGTTGCCCAGTGGCTATAAATAGCCCACCCCCTACACCATAAATTGGTGGCTGCTTAGAGTTAGATACGGCTTTTGTCGTTTGAGAGCAACCCACCTCCGAAGCTTTTGAGAGAGATTCCTTGCGAGGATAAAGCCCAAACCACCCAGAGCCCAAAGAGTGTTTGGCATCACTGAAGTCTTTCTGTCCGTGTGATCTGAAGACTTGTTACACCTGAGGACTGTGAATCCTCTAGCCGGTTAGGCGTCCCGTTCTGAGCATCCAAGAGCCATTGTGGATTGCCGGTGAATGAAGTCTGTGAAGGTTCGAAAGTCTACCTTGAAGACTTACCAGAGTGATTGGGCGGGGACTAGGTGTCATTAGCTCAAGGGGAATAAGGTGAATACGCGGTCTTCTGAGTTGAATCTCAGCCTCCCTAACCAGACGTACAGTTGTCACAGCAACTGGAACTGGTCGAACAAATCCATGTCCTCCTGAAGCTACTGGTTCTATCTCTCACTTCTCTTTACTTACTGTTTGTCTTTGTGAAGTCATTGTCTGCTTGCATTATCTGTTTGACTTCATTGTGTGACTACCTGATCTGATTGGCTTCATACTATCTTCCATCCTGATCCTTACTACCTAGATGTTGATAGTCTTCGTGCTTTCACTTCATTGAATACTTAACTATGGCTTGTCTAGTGTAGTCTACCTTCCGCTGCATTCGAACAATGTTGTTTCTATTGTTTGTCTTCGAAACTCCCATGTTTTGAAGACTTCCATAAAAATTGCCTATTCACCCCCCCCCTCTAGTTGATAACTAGCCCTTTCATGCGGTCTTACCACCTGCGAACGCGCCAGATCTGTAGGTCTTTCCCTTCCCCTCTCATACCACCTTCCACCCCGGCATTGCTTGTCCTTGGCAGTCTATGGTCGCCGGATCTGGTGCTCTTGGAGTATGGGAGTGGTGATAGTCTGGGAGAAATCCTTGGCTGGTGTGGCCCGGTCACGACGCTGATGACATCAATTGGTGCCGTGCCCCTCCCTGGAGGCTCCATAGAGGTTCTGTCCCCCTCACTCCCCTCTCGCTCTGGGTGAAAACCTCATCCTTTTGGATGGGGCGGCAGTGGCGCTCTTCCCCGTCACCTTCCTGGAGGTGTTGCTCTGGTAGTTCGAGAGCTGCGAGGGCGCTCTGGTTTGGGGATTGGGGGATCGATGGTCCCGTGGTCCGATTTGTCACATCGGTGTTGTGCCTCGGCGGGTGATTAGCGATCCCGCAGCTTCTTTGGTCGTCCCTTGTTTTCGTCGTGCTAGTCTACTTGCCGACAGGTCGGCGTCCATTGTTCAGGGCTGGGAGTGGATCGGGTTCCATCCCTCATCTTCAGCTGCACATCGACAACGGGGTGATCGTGGTGCCGCTCCTTGCAGGACTGTCCTTGATCTCATTGCACTTGATGTGCTAGTTTCATCGTTCTACGCTTCCTTCCTCAACTCCTTCGATCCTGACGGCTTCATCCCTTCGTGTGTGGATCTATGCGTTTGGGCGAGGCTCTTCCAAGGCAAGCTCGACTCAGCTGGGGGCGGGGCTGAGTATCTCTCATGATAGTTCATGGCTGTCATCTAATCTGGCTCTAGGGTGAGCTTCCCCATCTTCTGACGGTATGTCGTCCTTCAAGCCAGGACGAGGGGCAGGGGTCCCCTTCGGAGATGGTTTCCGGTTGGTTGTTCCAGCTCACCATCCCTGGTGCAGATGAGGGCATGCTCCCTTCCTCCGTCGGGTCCCATCTTCTTCGTGCTTCCGCTCCACCTATGGTGCTAATTCTGCGGTTGGGGGCATCATCGACGTCAAGCGAAGCTTTGCTTTCCATTTTGTTCTAGTGCTTGGTGTAGTTGATGTTTGTAAGTTGTCTAGTAGCATTATGTATCTGCCGTCTTTTTTCCTTTTTCCTCTTGTAAGGTGTTGACCGATGTAATTCCTGGCCGGTTGATGGCTTGGTTAATTCAAAGCCGGGCCCTCTCTCGAGCCTTCGTTCTAAAAAAATAATACGGAATAGATAATTGCTTTTGCCTGTCGCCGAACTTTTTATTTACTGCTGCATATGAACTTTGTGGACGCAGTGATGCAGATTGCAACTATTTATTAATCTACATTCAAGTAAACTCTCGTTTCAACTCCAGCCAGGGATGTTACCAAACTATATTAGCTCACTCCAAGTATTTAATGCTAAGCTGTCTTGCTTGACACACAACAAAAGTACCCTGTTTTTCTAATCTCTATATAGCGCTATTGGGGTGAAGTTCACCGAGGAAACTAATGAGATATGAAATGGATTCTAGGGAGCTACGTTTTATATGTGAATTTGGAATGTGATCACATGATTCTAGAAATCTTAAATGTGTAGGGCAGCTTCACAATTGTGCATCTCTTTATTTATGTAGATAAACGAGACAATTGCTTATTTTTGTTATGGTATTGGAGATTTGGAGTTACGTCTTCTCAGAAGCATGACTTGGGTAGACCATTATGGAGTTGCCATTGAATTTTTTTTTGTGCCTGTGTACAATGATGCAGCACTTGACTTTATGTGGCTAGCTAGCTATTGCACTTAACTTAGTGACCTTGCCTGTAATTATATATATTATGTGAACAGGAATCATTTCGGTAACAGAAATCCATCCCTGAAGCGGCTCGAGCCTTCCTGTACCC